ATCACCTTCGTTAAAATAGTTTGTCAAATAATTGATGACTGTAGATTTGCCCGAACCCGTCTCTCCAATCACTAATACCTTTGCGATCTTATCTGTATTCAATCTCACATGTTCCACCGGACGCGTTCGAGGTTTTTGGAAGTAATTTTTGAATTTGTTCACTGCAGTTCTAATTGGTTTCGAGAATGGCATTTAATTTAATCGAAATAATAGTTCCAAACAAAAAAATGAATGCGTCCGAAGGTGTCAATTCCAATAAAACCTGCTATATCTGAAAAAGAAAATATGAAAACATCAATTCATGTATTCAATTGAAATTCAAGAGATACAGTCGAAGACTTAGGCTGTAAAAAGATATCTAATTATCACTATAACTCGGTTTTCTGTTTATAATCATATAGATAGCAGTGATGCAATAAAACAATTCGAATGGAACATCATTAATTTTCATCACATTTCCTTGTGTAAAGTTCCGGATTTCTTCTTGTGTTTCTGTATAGAGTTGAAAAAGTTTTCTCGTATCGCAACTGCTGAGACTTTTGAATTTTTCACAGAAGTTCAATTGTTGATCGAAATTCAAGTAACCGATTGATTTTCCATCACAACGACGCTGAAGTTCGTCTTTGATTTCCTGATAGATGTTTGATTTCTTTGTATTTGTAAGATCCTTACTCATCTGCAACAATCGATTTGTGCTATACTCAGTGTAGCTTCTTTCCATAAGAGTACAAACAGGTGAATCTGAACAGGAGACTGCTTTATCGTTCTTGTTAAGTGAAATAAGGTCATCAGTGTCGGTTTTCTTGTCTGAAAACTCTTTTTCCAAGTGTGTCACCCGATCCAATTGTTTGTCTTCATCCATGGAATGAGACATTTCGCTTTTGTCATTCGTTGGTTTTTCTTCTATCATTTCTCCATTCGATTGCAGTAGTATTGACGTCCTCTGTGACAGTGAAATCCTTGCATCTGGATGCTCACCATCTTGCCTTCCACGTTTGAACGAATGAGAACTAGTTAATTCTTCAGAATCAGTGTTGCTGAGCTGATTTGAAGATTGTTCATGGCTTTCTTTTATTTCTGAAGCTGATTTCTCGTCTCGTGTTACGTTTGCTGATTGAGAATCACAGAAGTGTTTTAATTGCTGAATAAATTTGTTAACTATGTGAGCTGTTGATGGCGATTTCAAGTTAACCGTTTCACTTTCTAGGTCTTCAATCATTTGATTAAGCTCTGCGACTACATTGATATTGGTACACTGCTCCTGCAATTTCTGGACACTCTCTTCGATATGAGAATATTGAAAACGTAGTTCGTATTCGATTGCATTCTTTGTTGTTTGAATCGAGTCGACTTCCTGATTGGCCTCTCTTCTTCCAACTAGAGCGCCATTGTAACGCGCTTGAATTTCTTCAATGACTGTTGAAATACGTTCCTTAACAGGTTTGAATATCAATCGTGCATGATAATGTCTCGTGTATGAGCAATGTCTAGGACATTTGGTGCAATGCCCATTAACAATAGACTGGCAGTTGACAAAAATTTCATGTCCCATTTGCCTGGTTTCGTTCAGACGACATTGTTCATGACATATATGATTGCATTGGGAACATAATGTATTATGATAAGAAGTTTCGACTGGCACTAATTTTGTAATATATATGGTCTGAATATGATCTTTAAATCTGATGAGATTTTGTTCATGAACCTTAGCCGTTTCTTCCCATAAAGCAATATTTGCTTCCAGTTCTTGTAAATAGCAAATGGTCATCTTCGATTGATGCAGCAAAGCTTTAATTGTATTTCTCTCATCATTTATATCTTTGAAACTCTGGGTGGAGACTGATCGCAATTTTACCAAAGTTTTGATTATTTTATTGAGCGTTTGCATCGATTCCTTAAAAGAAGTTCGAACTTGCTCTCTTTCTATCAGCTGAAGATCATTTAAGTGTTGCACAAATGCAGAATTTTGCATACAAAATGTCGGAGAGTCTTCGGCCAAGCCAAAGTCATTCTTTGGAAAATTCTTTCTGTATCTGCTCGAATTCGTTCGTATAATCAACATATTGTCATAGATGGATTTTGGAATTTGACTCTGCAGTCGTTGCAGTACATATTGAGCACTTGATGTCAGACGTGTCTGACTATCATTAAAAATAAAAATGATCGCTGTCAAAGAGTTCATCTTTTGAATATAAGAAAAAATTTGCTCGATGTTTTGATTATCCTGACTAATGCCATTCGTATCATTAATACCAGGAGTATCAATAAAATGGAATTTGACTGCTTCTACTTCGAAAGTATAACGATGGCATCCGACTGTCTTGCTTTTGCTCGTGTCACTCAGCGATTTTTCATCTGATTCGAAAGGCATGTTGGCCTGGTAAAATCGAGTCGGAACAGCTACCTTTAAATCATTTATGGAGCCACCATGAAAGTAATTAGCAATGTAATTGATAAACGTGCTTTTGCCTATATTTTTTTCAAAAACAAAGAATTATTGTTTCCTAAAGAAATTTTTTACGAATTTTACATACCACTTCCTGTTTCACCGAGTAAAACAATGTTCTTTTCGTTGAAAAACATGACAAAAGATAAATCTGGAAATAACAACATGCAATCGTCTATTAAAAGGATTTCGTTTTTACATAACGGAACTAATTAACTAATGGAGATGGTATTTACAGGAAAAATAGATCATGGAATGACTCTCACTTTCCTCCTATGCTCATGATCAAATTATTTGCAGCCACCTCGAAAATATATTCCTCTTTTCAGATTACTTTTGGTTTGCAACAAAGACATGACTATTTTTATTGAAAGCTTACCATCGAGAGAGCCACGCCCATGATGGAACTCGTGTTTGAGGAAAAACTTTTTGGACAGTGTTTTCTTACGAGACCTTCTCAACAAATTTTCCTGTTACAAAAAAGGTTTGCAGAAGTCTTTTTTGCTTTTCGAAAAATCTTACTTTCTTCTTTTTTAATGCCGCAATATGAAAATGACCGAGCACTATTAGACAAGCCTTGCAGATATCCGAGGCAAACAAAATCAGCACAATCGAACGACTTTCTGATGTATCTGGCAAAAGTTTTTACAAATACGATAATCGTTGAATATTGAGTTAGTGCTCGTTAAATGACGTTCGTATCACAGCAGAGTATTCGGACTATCTCAGCTATCTGATAGTTGAGAATAATATTTTCGAGCAGAGAGAGCGTAATCTTCATAATTGTAATAGGAAAATAAAATGATTAATATCTCAAGAGCACAAACAGTGAACAGTCTGTAACAAAGAAACAATTACAGTTGGTTGGTTTTGTCAACTTTCAAATTCGATATTTTGATCTTCTCTATGTCTTGTAATAATTGATCATGCTTTCAATACTACCATCTTTCCTCATTATATCAAATGTTATACATACCTGTTTGTGGTGTAATAGAAGTTAAAGTCTTCACCTACCGTTCGATTTTTCGGTCATAATTCTGTTGATAATGTTGGCGTTTATTGTCCTTGTTTTGAAGACAAATTTCTCACAATTGTGAATTCTGAACAGCAAACATGGTTTGCTCTCATCTTATATAGATGTATGAGTTGGAATTCTCTTGTTCAATGTGAGTAATAGTTTTGGAGGGAAAAAACCCAGTTGATGAGAATGACGCCTTTTTTGTTCTCACGTACATAACATTCTTACAAATAATATTTACTGAAAAATTCCTTTTAGTCCAACATCGTCTTTCCTGACACTATTGAATCAATAATCGAACGAGAATTTTTTTTTCTTTCCGACAACTAAGGTGTTGTGCACAATTGAACGCTGCTTCTGTAGAAAATTCACGTGGTACGTTAGAAAAAAAGAAAGTAATGACTCTGACTTTTTCTCACAGATAGTTTGAAAGAGATGTTGTGTAAGACATTTATGCTATGGATAACGATGAGTTCTTGAAACCGAATAAATATTGAAACAACTTGAGGGTGTGTGGCTGTGGCTGTGGGTGTGGGGGTGGATGTGAGTGTGGGTGTGGATGTGGGTGTGGGTGTGGGTGTGGGTGTGGGTATGGGTGTGGCTGGGTGTGGGGTGTTGGTATGGGTGTGGGGGTGGGTGTGAGTGTGGGTGTGGGTGTGGGTATGGGTGTGGGGGTGGGTGTGTGGGGTGTGGGGGTGTATGGGTGTGGGGGTGTCGGGGTGTGGGGGTGGGTGTGGATGCGGGTGAGGGTGTGGAATGTGAGAGTGATCTTGATATATCAACATCGACACCCATCCCACACACATCCACACCCACACTCAACCACACCCAACCACTCCCAACCATACCCACATCCACATCCACACCCACGACCGAACACTGCTGGATAAGCTTGCAGATATCAAAGGGTGTGGGTGTGGGTGTGGGTGTGGGTGTGGGTGTGGGTGTGGGTGTGGGTGTGGGTGTGGGTG